TTGCTTTCCCCACATCGATAGAACCAGTTGTTTCATCATAGCAGTTATCTGATCTCCCGCATGAGGGACTTTTGTTGTTGCTATTGTTGTTTTACTTTTTTAACCACAAGTCTTGGGTATAAGCAAAAGTAGGGAATTTAAATTATGGAAAAACATCTGGCACAGAAATAGGAATTAGTACATGCAGAATTCTATGGAATAGCATTCATATTTTACTTACATTAAATATCATGGTACTCATGTTTGAGCTGGGGAAACTTCATGGTTTTTGTTAGCCTTATAATTCATACATAGAACTTTGAATCATTGGGACAATCAGGTTCAATTCCTGGATTTGCTAGACTTTTCATGTTTCCTTGTGTGAGTCATTTAATCCCTTCTTGCCTCAGCTCTCCATCTGTAAAAACAGGAAATAACCATTCCTTTTTCTGCCTTTTCTGTTCCAATACAAAGTACCCCTGCTCTGAAGAGCTTAAAAAGTATAAGCACACCACTGACTGCCCTTCAAATATCACAGCCCTCTTCGTAAAGGCCATTAATGTGATTATTGCTAGTAATTTATTTTCTCTCTACTAAAACAGGCCCTAAATCTCTGAGGATTTGATATGTTTAGACTACTGCTTCTGTGTAAAAAATAATACCCAGAAGCATGAGGGTAGTTCTCTTTATAATAATAAGTAGGTATGAGCTGAGAATAGAAGTGCAAATCAGGTGTACTCTGGCTTTGGATTACAGTGATGTGGTCTTTTAGACCACTGACAAACTAGCTTGCCACCCAACGGTTCACATTTGACCTGGTATTAAATTAACTGGACACAACAAACACCCATCAGACAGCTAAAGTCACGAAAGGCCAAGAGATGGAGTGACTTTGTAGTTGTAATTATGCAAAAGACTAGGGGTTTTTTTGCATTGATATTGTTTATTGGACCAACTGCATGGTTGGAATAAAGTTAGACTAGCTTTTGAATGCAAGACATTCTTTACCAGGTCTTTGCATTTGAAAGCTTGTCTAACTTTATTCCAACCATACAGTTGGTCCAATAAAAGATATCACTCCAAAAAAACAAATCCTTGCCTCTCACAAACGATTCTTGTCATTTAAATTATGCAGGAAAAGCTGACAACCTCTCCCCCGCATCTTCCCCCCAAAAAACCCACTAGTGGCAGAGAGAGAGAACAATGTTGGGTATGTAAATTGAGGCAACAGTACAGTTGACAAATATTTACTTCTGGGCATTCTAATTAGTGTTGCACTTCGAGACTTTTTTTCTATCCTCTCATTCTTCAGGACTTACTGTTGCCCTGTGGGGTCAGGCCAATGCTCAGGATCTCAATATTGTGCCATTAATAAGTGTTGAATTAAATATGACTTTGAATGCAGTTTCTTTTTACACACACTGATATTCTAAATAGCATTTAAATCCTTGAGTGAAGGGGAAAAACAAAAACAAAACATGTTGACATTTTATCAGATGGTTCAGAGAAGAGGGGAGAAAGAAAAAAAAAGAATAAACAAAATACACACAACCTTTAATAAATATAATTTTGCTAATCATGTGCAATTTAAAACTTTATATGAATTGCTGCCCTTGTTTCAAATATTAAAACAACTTTCCAGTCCAACTGGATGGAAGTGTTCTGGTTTGGGATCCACAGACTGATTCAATTTTTAGAGGGGTATTTCCAAGTATTTTTATTATATCTTTATGATATTCATATGTATTTAAACTGTGACAACTTAAAACAAACCAAACAAATAAATGCAAAACATATAATGAAACACAAACAGACAATACATTTTTTTTTGTAGTAATTTTTGCCACGGCTTAGATGAGGAAGATGCTGCTGGTGGTAATGAGGCCTCATAGTCTATCAGTCACCTTTGATTACACTGTGGTTTCTGCAAAAGAAAACAAACACACACAAACCTGCCAAAGAAAACTCCTTGCAGTGGCTGGTCATTCATATTTACAAATGTGCAATGCTGATGTGCAGTGGCAGTGCACACATCACTGCCATTCTTGGGGTCCTTTTCTTCTATACTGAAAAAGTAGAGCAGTTACCTACAGGAGGGTGGCCAACATAAGTCGAGGACTTTTCTGGACTTTTCCTGCCTCAACATCAGGGTAGGCACTGACCAGCCCATCGGACACATTTTCCAACAGCTCGAAGCCATTACTTTCTGCTAGCCAAGAAGGGTGGCCGGCAGGATACAGAAGACTGTTCACCCCTCTGAACACAACCTCAGTGTTTTTTCTGCCCTGTGAAGGACTGGAGCATTATTTGTTCAGTACCAACCTAGCTCAGGTCCCATCTTTTTCCAAAAACATTCAGTGCAGCTCCAGTGTCTAGGAGAGCGCTGGTGCACCCTTGATTTCCCACTGTGGCAGGAATTCTTGGTCTCCCTCCTGGATCCCTAGTGTGGGCCTCCAATTTTTCCCATGAGCCTGGGCTCTGCTCATGGGTCCTATCACGGGGGCCCCCTCAGCACTCCTCTAGAGGTGGAGCTGTGGCTGCAACCCTGTTGGAATAGGAACGTTCTAACCCCTTTTTACCAAGCTCTGCCATCCACTTAATTAACTCATGCAGTGGTCATTTGTCCCATTTCTCCTCAGGTTCCCCATGATCCATGAGGAACTTCCAGACTATCATACACGTACCATCTCCATCTGGCACTGGCCTTGGCCATGCCAGATATGAATAGCGGTCCCCATTCATTCCTGTGTACAAATTTGACTCCGATGGTCATGGATACTGATCCATACCTCCCCCCCCCACCCCATATGCCTATCTGGTTTTGGATATGCACTTTCATTTGAATAGGTAATTATGTGATCTGGTGCATGCTCTGGGATTTCCTTGGGCTGGGTGGCAGCTATCGCCCCCCCCCCCCATTTTCCGACAAGCATTCTGCATCCTGGGCACGGAGCAAAATCTCACCCAGGGTGTAATTATGCTCGCTGAGTGGTCCCATTAAACCAATTATGGATAGGTGCATTCCCTCCTGCACCTCCTGCCAAAAGCCACAGGGGTAGTTAATTGCTTTTATGTCAGGGGTTCTGTTATTTGCTCTGTTTAGGGGCAGTACAGATCCTGACAGCAAACCTAGCATCATGCACTGTATCAAGTAATCCCTTATAGTTTCCCCCAGATTTTGGTGGCTGGCCCCAAATTGTCCCTTAAAGATTTTTCTCCCTAAGCTACTCCTAATGTCTGCAATGCTCAGGGGAATTGCTTCCTTCCCAAAGCCACTATCCTGTTGAATGGCTGTCTGAAGCTCAGGAGTGGCACACAAACTCAGTAGACGATGCCACTCTGTCATGCTCGGAGACACATTCTGTACCATATTTAATGATTTCTGTAGCCGCTGGACCAAATTCTTTAAGTCTGCCTGACCCAGTGTTTTTCCCAGTGCAGCCAGATTTGATCCACTGAGGAAGACTGTGATCTGGGTGGTCTGGCTGGGGTTCCCCAGAGCATCCCTAGTGATAGATGTCAGTGTAATTACATTTACATCTGCCACAACGTTGTCTCCCTTCTTGGTCTTGGGAGTTTCTTGGGGTTGGAAAAGGTTTGTGGGATTCTCAGACTTTCCCAGTTATCCTCCCCACAAAACTCCCCTGGGTTGAAAGGAATATCTGGGTCCCAACCTTGGTCTTCATGGATCAGAGCCGCAATTTGGAAGCTGTGTTCCTGGAGTTCTTTTTTCAATCTATTAATAGTGGCAATACAGGGGCCGTGGTTCACTTCTGCACCCTTGTTGGCTGAATCCTTTTCCATAGTTTTGACTAGACTCTGCAAAGCCTCTCGGTGGGCCTTCTCCTGACCCAAGGCCTCTGATTGCTGGGTCAGGGTTCTGTTAATTTTGTGCAGGTTCTAATTTTTTGCCTCTAAATTTTGGTATAGCCCTTTTAGAGTTTCGTTGCTTATATCTAATTGATTAGGTGATCTGCAAAACTCAGGTCTTCAATTTTGGAGGCTTTTTCAAAATTTTCTCAAGTTGCAGTTTGTATTGCATGCCACAGTAGCCACATTAAGGCACTGTGCCACTTCTGGGCTGAGGGTTTTTCAGAGAGGTGATAATTTTCAAATTGCTTCTCCAGATCACCAGTGGAGAAGCCTGGGACACATACATTCTCCTTCCATGGGCTAAGCCCACCCTTCAAGATTTCCTTATGGAGGGAGAGGACATCCTTGCTCTTTACCCATGTGACCTCCTGTTTTCCCACCCCAGTCTTAGGGGTCCTGCTCTTGAACAAATTGAACATGATTTCTAACCACACAACAAACAACAACTACACAAACAATTACAAATACACAAACCTACACCCCTTCAGTACAACTGCAATGTCCTGTCCTGAAGTTGCAACACCCAACAGCAGTAATTCCAATACTGGGCCCCACTACAAGTCCAACAACAACAGAATTGGAACAGCAATGGGTCCACCTACTACAATCAGGTGCCCTTCAATAACACACACAGGGGATACACACAAGCACACTAGCTCTCTCAACTCACACTATATACTCATGCTCACTCCCACTAACACCTGCAATATGCCTGCATTCTCCACCATAAAAATGTTGCTCTGGGGGGTCAGGCCAATGCTCAGGATCTCAATATCGTGCCATTTGACAGGAGGCATGGTGCACAATTGCACATGCACACATATCACCAGTACACGCACATACACACCTTAATGATAATGACATGAAATCATACACAATACACACACATATACACACAGATTAAACATTGATTCAGGTGACTGTGTGTGTGTGTGTGTGTGTGTGTGTGTGTG